GGGAGAACTTGCACAATTGGTGGCTGACTAAATACTTTTTTGCCCCACTGTATATGGGTCTGCATCTAACAGTCATATACTCCAGATCCATAGAGCAGTGGCTGTCTACAGTCTTTGTATTGGTACACCAGCTTTTGTTCACATAAAGACTTAACACCCCCCCTCGCTAAGTGATGCGGTTGTAAAGCATGATGTCATGTGACCATATTGCTTAGTGACAGCAATCCTGGCAGTCCTGATTGCCATCAAAACCCCAGGACTGTATGGACCTTTAAGTAGGAATAGGTGGGAGTCCCAGGCAAGAAGCATGAGGGTGCTGCAGGCGGGCTGGAGGGGGCCATGGGTGGGTCCTGCCTGTGTGGGCAAGGGCCATGGGCGGGTGCTATGGAGCATGGGCAGGAGCTGCAGGTGGGCGTTATGGAGCATGGGTGGGCTGGTGGCCATGGGCATGCGCTACAGACTGCGGGCAGATGGGAAGGTGCTACAGAGTACAAGATCCCTGGGACCCCTGAGATCCCTGGGATCTCATACTCCATAGTGGGGGTCCTCAGGAGAAAAAGCAGTGGGAGCAACTTATGGGAGTGATTTGCGACCTTCCCTGCTGGCTTCCCCATTGACTTGCTTTTGGGAAGCTAGCAGGGAAGGTTGCAAATGGTGATCACATGACCGCAGGACGCTGCAATTGTCATAAGTGCAAGCTGGTTGTCAAGTGCTTGAACCGTGATCATGTGATTGGGGAGTGCTGCAATAGCTGGAACTTTGAGGACCAGTCATAAGTACCATTTGTTCAGCACCATCATAACTTTGAATAGTTGCTGAATGAGTGTCATAACTCAAAGACTACCTGTAAAAAGACATGTCAAAAATACAACAGGGTAAAATACAAATAGTAAGATTCAGGTAACTAAATAAGGCATCTAAAATGTCATGGAGATTATAGTTTTCCAATATATCATTAATTACTTATAAAATTATAAAATATTATATCACTTAAAAATTTAAAAATCACTGTTAACTTTAAGCTAAGAATACGTATTAGGAACCATATTAACACAGTATAAATCACTGACTAAAATTATAAGCTGTAATAATTTGAATCACTACCAGGAATCTAACTTCCTGTAAAGTTGAAGCATAAACTCTATACATAGAAAAATTTGGGATTGGTACAAATCCATGTATTAGATTGTAGTCTAGGAATGGTTTCCAATTATAATGGAATTCTGCATCCTTTATCTAAGATTGAATGTCCTAAAGGCAGAAGTTTGTGGCACCATTCTGAGCTGGGAGCGTCTTTGGAATTGGCATAATTATTGATTTAATTTCTATTTAAAACTGGCATCTATTTTTATTGCTTTTTGGTTGTTTTTTATTATCTGTGGGTTAATGGGGGGGGCTGTTTATTGCTTGCTGTTCTGTAACTGTACCATGGATGTTTTAGTGTTATGATTGTAACCTGCTGAGTATGATGGAATGGACTTATGAAGGCCAGGTTCAGGGAGATAAGCATGTTCTTAGCCCCCAACAGGAGCGTGGGAAGTTCAAGAAGATGAGG